ACAGATCAGGCTGCACAACCCAAGCACCTTGGCCCCTGACCATCACAGGAGGCCCCTGGCCTGTGGCGATGCCACGCTGACCTGGGTCCTCCTGTGCCACCCCCTTGCATTGGGAGGAAACCAGGTTTGAGGGTGAGGGGACTTGCAGACCGGGCGGGGCTGCCCTGGGCCCCCTGCTCAGACGCCCCCCGCAGGCTGTGCAAAGTCTGGGTCCTGTCTGCACCTCGCCCTGGTCTGCAGAAGCCCCTGCCTCACGCCTGGGCAACTCAGTGTGTCTCTGGGCCAACCCCACGGTGGCCCTGGGACACTGGGACAATCCTGTGGCTCCAGGGAGGGGCTCTTTCTTCCTTCTTTTATTTGTTTTGTTTTTAATTTGAATAACAAAGGGACATAAAGGCTTCAGGGAACTGTGGGAAGTTCTTCTTCTGCAGCCTGAAGAACAGCGGCCAGGCCCCCCGGGGGTGCTCTGGTGTTAGAGAGGGGACCTGCTTTGTTGCTGACACCCTCCCCCAAAGCAGGAGCGGCCAAGCCAGGGTACATCCCTCCCCAGGATGCCCCCAGCCAGCACCCGAGGGCAAGCAATGGCGCCATAGGTAGGCTGAGTGCAGAGAGTTCTGCTCACCTCTGAGGTGAGACCCCCGTACACAGGGGCCCGTCCTGGGGGACAGCATGTGGTGGTCCCAACAGAAAGAACTGAAAGAAAGAAGCAGCTGGCTGGATTCTCCTGAGCGCCCTAAAGAATGGCATGTGTTTATTGAGCACCTACTGTAGGCACCCTACCCTGGTACCTTCCTGGAAAGTCTACCTGGTGCTCTCAGTCGTAAATAACAGTGACTTCCACCCGGATCCGTGTAAAGCAGCAGGGAACGGTTCGTAAACAGCACACAGATCCAACACTCCTGCCGGGGAAAAAGCCACCCGTTGGTACACTCAGCCCCTGTGGTTTGTATGCACTGGGCTGACTCACAGGTTGCCGCTGATTTTCCTCTGGAATTAAGTCAGATTTTTTATTTCTCCTACTTGGCACCAGGTAAGATAAATCCAGGTAGGCTAGGAATTCAATGAGGAGACTTTTAAGCTATAAGGAAACGAATTTCTACTAGAGATGCTTTCAATAACACAGATCTTTACAGTTTTGCATTGTGAGTCCTAAGAAAGGCATCAGTGCCAGGTGGATCATGGAGGGACTCGGGAGGCCCAGGATCTTTCTACCCTCCCCGTGGCACAATAGAGCTGCACCAGCTCCACCCATCACCTTCTCACCAGCTGCATGCAGGAAAAGTTTCCATCTAGAATGTCTTCTTAAAACTAAA